ATAGAATTACTAGAAAACACTAATTTCTAAAGTCTACTTTAGATTATCTATGTTATTCGCGTCAGAAGTCAAAGTGCTATTCTATTTGTAATCTTATGCGCCGTGTAACATGAAAAACACTTGACGAGTCTGAATACGCACGTATACAGGGTGTGTCCTGGGTAATAGTCGAAGATGTAAAGGGACATTCCTTGGCTTCTATGAAGAAAATGTCTTATAATTAAACGTATGTCCTAAAGAGCTTTGTAATCAAATCGCAGGGTGTCAAATTTTAAGGAAAAGAATGAAAATTGCGAAAATTTAAGAAAACGCTGAGAGACACTTTATTCTAATTTAGCGTGCATACATTGCACTAAGCTTAGCTTCATTCTATGTTAAATTTTTAGCCTATTTGCACTTACACTTGTATGGATCTTGTATTCCTTATTTACACTTTATTAGTCTTGTATTGATCTTATATTATTTACATTTCTTCCTCTTGCTCCTCTTCTTTCTCTCCTTTTTCTCTCTTTAAACTTCGCAACTTGCTTTCTCTTTCCATCCATAGCTTTCTTATAGTATCCCCTTTTACCGCATCTATAATTCGTCGCTCCATATCTTATTCCTTATTTCTTTATTGTTTTTCCCTAATTTCTTGAACCGGTGTGATGTCATACTACATTCCTCTATGTAATGCTCAAGGCTATCCGATCTCGTATTGCAAAAGACACATTTTCTTTCGTTTTCTTCTAGCCAATGTTTATTTATATCTTTCCAGATTACCGCGTCTCAAATTCATGAACGCTCTAATCTTGTCGCCTATATCATGCTCAAAAAGCATCTTATAAAGAAACCTACGCGCGGTGTGATAATTTTTGGTAGATTATTTGCAAAACAAAACTTGTTATCTGCGACGATTGACCGATGAACTGCATTAATCTGTTTTATTTTTATCTCCGCCTCTCTTTCTCTCGTTTCCCATTGACTTGGTAAGATTATCGTAAGAGGATCGTAATTTTGTCGGTTTGTAACGACTTCTAGTCATAATTTCAATTAACTCCGGCTGTGCAATTAAACGCGATGCAATTATGCGAACGCATCGCTGTGCTGCGAGTAAACGTCAGCACGCGGAAATACGTCGGTTCTACCTGCCTGGTGAATATTCTATCGCGAGAAAGAGTTTATATCGTGTGCAGAAATCTACATACTGAAATTTTCGAGTGGCGTGCGATATCCCTCGGCCGTGCATCTATAATGACGCATCCCGTGTACTGCTGTTCAAAACAGTTACGTTACTCATCGGTTGTATCTAACGTCGATGTTTAAAACGCACGCATATCGCCTCCGATGATCTAAATGCGATCGTTATCGTTTCTTTCTACGACAGTTTAATCGCCGGCAATTCATCGTGGTCTTCCATTCGGCGTGCAGTTTTGCCAGGTTTTTTTAATTAGGGTAATTTGCCGTTCACAACAAATCGATCATAAGATAAAAGCCCGAAGCGTGCGGTTTAACTCGCGAAAGCGTGCTCGCGTTGTAGCACGTTGTCCTCTTAATTAGCACGCGCGAGACTTTTACCTTCGAGCGTTAACTCGGGTGTCAAATCGAGAGCATCGCGGCCACGTCGTTGCCACGTGCTCGAGGGAGGGAAGAAAAGCCGGAGACCCGTGGTCAAAACGGTCAGCAACACCAGGGGCCCGATTCTCGAAATCATTCGAAGAAGAAACGTATACGAACTATTCTGCTCTGACAGAAAAGTTGAAAGCCGATTGGTTAAAGCCATGCGAATAGCCAATCAACTTGCGACTTTTCTGTAAGAGCAGAATTTTCGCATACGTTTCTCCTTCGAATATATTCAAGAATCGAGCCCCAGGTGCGAATTCATAAAGTTTCCCCCAGGGTGAGTCAGCGAGAACGTTTCTCGGCGGAAGAGATTAAAATCGAAATAACTTTTTTTTTCAATCTTGCGCAATTATAGATACGTTCCCGTCTATCGTTTTGTAATGGCGGGTGCGCGCTGTAAAATCTCATAGTGGGGTAAAAGCAATTAGTGATTCTTGTGCCACATATATCGTGTAATTATAAATCCCCGTCTCGCAATTTCCACGAGTGACAAGTTCCCAGTCTCGCTGCAAAATAGGCGACGCGTGAAAGCATGCTTAGCGGCTATTCGATGCTCCCCTTTCCTCTGCTTTTGCATAAAGTATTTCGCTCGTCGGGCCGGATACTCGCCTTCCGAGCTCGTGACGTTCGGACAGGAAAAAATCTTCGAATTGTGTCGCGCCCTTAATTTTATTATTGTCCGTTTGTAAAATTGTTTTTATACAAAACTATGATCATTTGGAGAAAAAATTCGCGATGAAACCTATGGTCATGGTCCGGAAAGGTTGTCCAACGTTTTACAATAAGTTTTCGGAATATTCGTACACACACTGAGAAAAATTTCCATCGGATAGACCGATTAAATAGTGTTTCCGATGGTTAATTTTTCCGATTACGTTTTCCGATTAAATTATGGACACATCCGATGAAATTTATCCGATGAAATGCAGTTAACGATGAAATTTGGTTGACAAACCGATCATACTTTTCATCGGATATACAATTTAATCGGATATATCCGTTTGTTCTTATGTAATTGGATTATCCGATAATATTTAATCGGACATTTTTCTCAGTGCATCATTCCTTTGCTTTAACAACGTGTCGCTGCATATATCCGTGAGCGAAAGCCATAATTTCTCGCATGATAGACTGTATTTCTGAAATTTATCAACATCGGACAACCTTTCTGACCACGACTGTACACGGAGAGAATTTTCTCTTAGAATTCACTTTGAAAATCATGCAATCGTGGGACAACGTGGTACTTCGAAGAACTTTGTGAGAGTTTTCTGAAAGTTTACCATACATTTTACTACTAAAATATATACTGGGAGTCTTCTTCGAGTGATTAGTTGAAATAAAAACATCATGGAAAACAATTATTCGACGCGTCTGGCAATTACACAACGTTTCGACCGAGAATTCCGGTCCTTTTCAAATGAAAAGGACGTCTTGATTACATCCTGAAGTCAGACAAGTGCCAACCAGTCTGAATCTGAAGAATGTCCATCAAGAAATATAAGGAAAAATGAAAATTCCATTTTCCGTATAACATCGATCGCACTAAACTCGGAATAGAACTACCGTCTGTTCACACCAACGTATCGCAATCATTGCTATCGTTGGTGCGAACAGACGGTCGTTCCGAGTCTCCATTACATGATTTTCAGGATTAATTTTAGGAGAAAATTCTCTCCTAGTGTAGAAAATCCTTTGCATATAGGAAAAGGATCGGACGTGAAATTGAGCCGCGTGTCGGAGATGATCGCGATCGCGGCCGCATGTTGCCGAGACGCACGAAGCGTTGAAAAATGCTCCCATCAGACTAAACGGTACTCGACTGCGGGCCTCGTCGCGGCGAGGACTTCGGAGTTCGTCTCGACTGCGATCCGTGGAGGAGGCTGCAACGGGAGACTCGGCTCTCCCGGCTCTCCTCTCTTTCGGTGCACGAGAAATCGGGGAATACGTTACCCTCCTCGTACCTCACGCGTCCATTATGGTTCATCGCCGTTGCGCGTGTGAGAACGAGGAAGTGCTCCTCCGACAGTTATTCGGTAACGCTTCGTGTTACGAGCTAACGGATTACCGCTGGAAGTGAGACACACGCGGGTTCGCTCCTTTCTTTTTTTTTTTATCGCGAATTTATTCCGTAATCACTTCACGAGATCTTGCGGTTTATGTAGATTCAGATTTCAAGTTTCACTTATAACGAAGATGCATCTGCCAAAGGTCGATGCCACGTTACAGTAACTTGGAACATGTCACTGAAACTACGAAAGTTTAATATCGAGAAAATGAGCAGGCAAGGTATCTTCTGCTTCGATTTGTGTTAATCGTTTTTACGCACAGATGTAGATATATATATTTTTTATATATATTGATACTGTGTTTTAAGACTGACAAATCAAGTCGGCGCACAGTTCTCGATTTCGAATACTGTCACGATAGGTGGCACTCGAGAATCAACATTAGACTGTTTATTGCGATGAGTATTGCCATGTGCGTCGGTGGTCGAATTGGTTGAGACGCCCGCCTAGCGAGAGGAAGGTCCAGGTTCAAACCCTGGCCGAGGTGATATTTTTTCGCAATAAATTTAGAATAGAATATTTAGACACTGCCATCCTGTCACGGCTCAGAGTCCTTTAAATTCTTTGAAATTTGTGTTTAACACATACGAGCTTTACTAATTTATATATATATATTTTTATACATCAATTGAAGATAAACGCGATGAAAGAAAGACCTCTGCAAGAGGGACCTTCGTTTGTAGCGCAATGAAATTGCCGGGAACTGTCTGGGAATGTGCTGTAACCATGTGATTTCATTGTTTAAATTCCGTATTTCGGTCAAGGTTTTGCAAAAGTTGCACTTAAGTAATACATAATACGGGAGTCTTTCTCTTGGTTACAAGCTTCAAACGATGCACCATTTGCATATATTTGACGTGCATAATTAAATCACCAATTGCAAAATTCAATCAAGTTCGATCGCTTATCATTGATTTCTTAATTCGCACATATCTCTCATTTTATCTTCGACGTCACGACCAGTTATTGTTAAACGAGATCTAAAGTGCAAACTAATAAAATACGAAACATTTTATTACATACGTACATTACGTGAGCTACTTAAAGATATCGTTCGCACAAACATTAAAATGTGTGCTAGTTGTATTTAAGTTTATATTCTTTATATTTAAATATCAATATTTATGGCGCCAATCTTAAAAGCATGAGCGACGATATAAAAAAATAAGGATGACAAAACAATGACTGACCGCTCGGAATCGCGGAATCAATGGGGCGGTAACTGATATACATACGTGCAGCTTTTACTCTGATATAAGCGAGAGCGATTATGCGCGAAAGCCATAACGTGAGATTTTCTCGGGCACGGGTCGTGGAAAGTCGATTGAAGAAAAAAAAAGTAGATGTGCGCGAGAGCTGCTTAAGAAATCTCTATTTTCACGATGACTTACCGCATTTACATATCAATGCTTTACCCCATTAATATTGAAATGCGTGATATAAAGTTATCGAACGTGTAGCACATATACGTATATCTCCATATTTATTTACGAGCACATTGTTAGCATTAATGACACAAAGCTGTTGAGACTGAAAGATCAATTTAGTTGACGACTTATTCTATGCTTTACTACACGAGTATATTAAATAAAAATAAGATTAGAAAATACATTATATGTGTCGATACAACTCAACATTTATTCTGTGTCTATTATTACTGACACTTGGTTTTTATCGTTTACAGTTCAGAAGGCCAAGGACTTGCTGACTAAAGGAAAGCACAGTGAGTACGATATTTGTATCTTGAATACACTTGTAAATTTTTCCTCTCCCATTAACGGTCATTTTATTTGTGAGAATTTGTGAGAAAAATATAAGTAACGAGACACCGAGTGTTTACGTACAACATTTTAATTAACGTGAAATTAATTGAGTCGTAAAAAGTGTTTGATCTTTTAACGCCCGGAGCATCCTGATCTCTCAATAATCCAGCTGTCACCTGTTTTCTCCCGTGCATCATCACGTTTCTTACCTACCTGCACGTTATTCGCGTGTTCGCGCCGATACCGAGTGACCTCGTATTCCGCGGCTATTTTAGGTCATGAATCATCCGGTTTTCGCTGGCAAAGCGATCAGAGTTTGCAGAACAATACGCACAAATTTTCGTACGTCGTTACTTGGATTATATCAACGGAAACTCGAATTTCGTCCAGTGCGAAGTGCACAATCCCGTTTGCAGAATTTCCGTCGCGAAATTTTATGCCATTTTATTCATTGAGAAATCGACGACCTACTAAAATTAAATAACGAGAGCATGTCAAGTAAGAAGAGTATTCAAAATAAAGACATATTGCATATTTTAGTCAACTCCGAGGACGGAAAATAACAAATTTCTAGCATGAGATGGGTGCAAGTTATAAAGTTTGTCAAGACATTTTGCTGATTTGAAGCAACCAATTGACACAGAAATTTTACAACGCGTATTTTAAAATGCTCGGTAGAACTTTTACATGTTGGCGCACCGACTTTTGCAGCCAATTCAACGTGAGCGCGTATGCTATCTTCTCGACCTAATAATCAGTGTAATTGCGCGACGAGTTAATGACTTCCCGATGCGCGTCCACGATACACGCGTTGTGACATTACTATGCTTATTTAGCTGCAATGTAAAATAAGCAAACGCCACGTTGCTAACGAGAGACCATATATTACATTTAATGATAGGTTTCCATCTGTATGGAGAGATATTTTGAAGCGTGTCGATAGCGTGTCATACGCTGTCGGATTAAATTACCTTTTCATTATCTACGTGCAAAGGCGAAATGAATTGCCCCAATTTTACCAATTTCTATCTGCGTATTATTTTATTAATATGCAAGCCAGTGTGAGCAAACGAACGGAGGTAACTACAGTCAAGACCAAAGCCGAGAATTTTCTCTTTTTAACGGGAATATTAAGCGAACGTGTTGCGACGGCCAGACGTGTTTTCTTACCCAGTTGAGACCTTTAATTCCCGTTACACACATCTCATTGATCTCCCGACCTCGCTCCCGGTCGACACCCGATCCTCGCCCACGTTGCGGTACGACACGCCGAATTGTACATGTACGTACGCAGAGACCAACGATTGCTTCGTGACGATCGCACTCGGCAAGGAAAAGTACCAGACGTCGGTGAAGGAGAAGGCTACCAAGGACGTGGAATGGCACGAGGAATGCGAGCTGCAGATCCCGGAGCAGGGAAACACCGCGGAAATCGTCCTCACCGCCCTGCACCGCAACTTCCTGGGTGTCGACGAGTTCCTCGGCACCGTCAGCGTACCGCTCTCCAGCTTCGACGTGTACGAGAGGCCCAAGAACAGATGGTGTGTTTTCGATAGCGTTAATTGCAAATTGCCTTTCATGCAAATCTCTCCCACACTCGCCACCCACGGAAAAATTGCTCGGGAAAGAGAAACCGTTTATGGCGTACCGCCTATCTCATTAATCACTCGCATTCCTTTTTGCATTCCTATAGCGTGATGTTATTGACCACTCATCTTGTATGGCAATCAATTTTTCATACGGCCAAATATGAATTTAACGTAGGGCAACTTATACTTTCTCACCTTACAATTAATGCTGTTTGTATTTACTTTCTTCGTCCATATTTTTGTCTTCAACATATTTACGGCATTTTATAAATTTCACATAGATTATTAATAAGTAAAATGTTTTCGATCATTAGTGTTTAGGATTTGCTGTTAAAATTTTCCAAACAACACGTACGTCTTACAGATGTCTTGTAGACATGCGTGCTGTACGGGTTTGCTTTATGAAAACAACATTTTACTCGTTGTCTTTGGATTTGTGAGGGAATAAATGCGCTTGTATTAGGTACGCTCTTAACAGCAAACCAGGTAAAGAGAACACGAAAGAGAGAGGCGAGCTGGAGGTGAAGATCGGCTTTATCGTAAAGGCTGGAAGTTTGACCGACCTAAGTAAGAAGGAGCGTCACAAAAGCTCCCTGGGACAATTGTCCACGGCCGCGCAGTCGATCGGCGGCAGTTTGCTCAGTATCGGCAGCCTCGAGAAGCGCAAAGGCCTAAAAAAATTAGCCAAGTCAATCGGGAACAAAGTCAAAGGCAAGAGCAAGAATCGGCTCGATGGGAATAATCTGGACGAGAAGGAGGAACGCGAATTCAAAATCACACGACAGGAACCGGGTGAAGCTGATCCCGGAGTTATCAGCGAAGACGAAGACGAATTCACGGTAAGTGGAGGCAAGAACGATATCGTCAATATTTGTATTTAATATCTGATAATGATGTTCTATTAAAACCGCTGTGTTAATCCCGACGAGTGGAGGTTTGATTAATTTTATCATTTCTAGTTTACAAAATATATACTTAAGATACATAAACAATAGTCGAAATAAAGAGAAATAAATTTGTTGAACATATGTTTCAGTTACTTTAATTTGTTGTAGTTTGACGATTTGTCCCACAAAAGCTCGGCCTCGTCGCTGAACGCACCCGTGTACCCGGGTGTTAACAGCGGCAACACCAACAGCACCTCGAATGGCTTGCAGAGCAATGTCTTCAGAGAGGTGCACACGCCACCGGTACCAATTAACGCCGCGCCGAGCAAACCGCCGCGATTTGCCATGAGTGCGTCTACCACGAATCTGTCCAGGGTCGACAATTTGACGAAGGACGACGAGTGGGGTTTGAAGCTCTACGGCAAGCAGGCCAGCAGTGTGCCTAAAAGGTAAAAATGTTCGAAGGCGTTTCAAAGATATTTATCTTGAACAGAAATAGGAAAGAAGTAGAAAAAAAAACGCATTTTACGATTCAATAAATGCTTACAATTACTAACACAAAATTATATCGTTAGTAAAAATATAACACGTAGAGTTATTAAGTAAAACGTGTCAACATAATGAAGTAATGCCTGCGCATGTTGCGCCCGTCAGATGGGGAAGCAAGCCTAAGATTGTGGTGGATGAGCCGCAGGATAACAAACGCGACGTATCGCCTGTTCGTTCGCAATCACCAGTCGCATCAAGGTTGAGAGATCTTCCGGAACCGCCCAGCCCGGCGCCGAGAGAAATTCTTCATCCGAGGAATAAGGACGAGAAATTCGCAAGCAAGGAGAAGCTCGCCGCCAGCAAGGAGAAGCTTGCGAAGGAAGACAAGCCGAAGGATAAGAAGGACGAGAAGTATGGCCCGCGAAGTCCCAAGGAGGAAAAGCACGCGAAAAAGGACAAGAAGAAGGACAAGGAGGGTAAATTCAAAGATGCCAATGACGAGAATCACCTGTCTTCCGAAAGAATCATCATCGGTGGCGAGGACGCCGTTAAGAACGCCGCGAATTCCAAGAGTCGCCTGCCGCACGAGGTCCTTAACCAGTTCGACGGAAAATCGAGAGAAGTAAATGTCGAAGCATCAAAGTGTTCCTAATTCATTTTTATTATTTTCTTGAAGTGACTTTTTTTCTCACGAGACAAATTTCTCGTTGCAAGACAATTACCGTTTTAGTCTAACCAAAACACTTTGCTTGTAGGATCTAATCGAACTGGCGTTGCAACTGCAGACGCAAGTCACGGAGAAGAACAAGAGACTCAGCGATCTGGAGGATTATATCGACGCGCTACTCTTACGCGTAATCGAATGCTCTCCGCGATTACTCCAGAATCCGTATCAGAGGCGATTGTCATCCCCCGGGAACCAGTAAAGAGACAAATTTGCGAAGCTTTCCTCCACTCGGGGATCATTCCCTTTTCACGCCTTAGTGATACTTTTACCTAGACATGACTGACAAGTTGCAAGTGGCTATTTGTTATTAACATTGCCCTATATTCTAATTTATTTTCTTTTATGCATCATAACTTGAAGGAAAAGATATAAGCGTTCTCGCAGCAGCTTGCGAAATCCATTTCTTCGTATTTATTTATAATATCCGCGAGATTGTAGAACAATCAAGTGATGACAAGTATAAGATAGTAATTCACTTATTATCGATACGAACAAAAAATGGGGTGTGGCTGTCAGTTGAAAATGAGTTGCATTTCACGTAATCCCCCGTCTTCCCAATAAGCAAAAGTGTCCCAAGTTCGACAGTTCGTTGTGTTCGTTGGCGATCGAGATTTCCGTCCAAACGAACTTGCGAGGAAACATACAGCGAACACGAATGTATCTCTCTTATAATTATCCGTATAAGTTACCTAAGAATACTTTTTTTTCTAAGTAAGTAAAAGTTCTGACGGGGCGAGAAGCTTCGCGAGAAATAAACGCAGGAAAACACGTGCCTTCCGTCTTGTACGCACTCGCATTAATTCGAACCATGCCTTGTTAACTAAAGCACTGTTTAATTACGAGCATTGAATAAAAAGAATATACAGATAATACAAGAACGATATTAAAGTGTCGTTCACTCGAAATCGCATCCCGATCAGCTTTTAACGTTATTTCGCCGATACTGAATTAACGTTACGCAAATGAGAGACTGTTGAAATTCCCGGTCGAAGGTCAAGTTAGGTCAGCGGCGGATTCCGAGCTGGCGGCGCTGGCGCTCGCGGCAATTTCGTGCGCGAGCGAGAGTTCGAGCCATCGGGGATGTTCGCGTAGCGCGGTCGAGGAGCCCTTTCGCGTGTCCCGTACGCGACTTTCAGGACCAGCCCGTCGCGAGGACCGCACGACGATGACGGACGGCACCGGGAACGAGGACTCGGCGGCGTTCAACTCCATATCCGGTAAGCCGGCCATCCGCCGCGCGACACCGGCCTTTGGAGGTTAGGTTAGATTTGTCGGGGAGCAGCGGGTTTTTCGGATGCGCTCGCGCGCCCCTCGACGGGACATTTTCTCCCGCGGGTGTCGGTCAGTTAGCCCGGTCGCTTTCCTCGCCGCGGAGAGCGAATTCGCCGCGACGACGCCGGGGCCGTCCGTGACAGGTAGTCGAGTTTACGCGCGTACACCATGTGCTCCCGACTTCGCGTCCGATTGCCCGGCGTTGTTTAATCGCGTCGCGTCACGAAAAGATCCGTCGCACCTCCGACTTGGAGTTAAATCTTGAACCGTTAATGTGTTACAGACGTAGGCAAAGCCAACGCCGGCACAGCAGGTGCGGTGGTTTTATATTCGACCGCACTGGCGTGGCGAGCCCAGTTCCACCGCAGCCTCACGCGCGCCAGCGTCTCGGAGTCGTCGGACGAGGAGGAGGAGGATCTGTCCCAGTATCAGTTCGCGGACGATCTCGAATACCTCAGGTCACTGGATCCGAGAGACTGGAAGGATCAGGATCACTATGCCGTTCTAGGGATAAAAGACCTCAGGCACCGAGCGACCGAAGATCTCATCAAGAGAGCTTGTACGTAAAGTATGCCCCGTTAGAAGAATGTAGATGTAAACGCTGACTCGAGATTGACAACAAGTTGAGTATATGTCTAATACGTGAATTGCAGACAAGCTGAAGATATTGAAGCACCATCCCGACAAGCGCAAGGCGATGGGCGAAGAGATCCGACCAGACGACGACTACTTTACGTGTATCACTCGTGCCTGGGAGACCCTCGGGAGTCAAGCCAAGAGGCGAAGCTACGACAGCGTGGATCCTTACTTCGACGACAGTCTGCCAGAAGAGAAGGACTGTCGGAACAAGTTTTTCGAGGTGCTGGGTAAAGCCTTTAAAGAGAATTCGCGGTGGTCCGCGAAGAAGCCGGTGCCGCAACTGGGTGGGCCGTTCACGCCGCGAGAGAAGGTGGAACAGTTCTACTCGTTTTGGTACGACTTTGATTCCTGGCGCGAGTACTCGTATCTCGACGAGGAAGACAAGGAGAGTGGTCAAGAGTAAGTACGACAAATCACAGAATTTCCTTTGAGGGAAATTACGGCATAGTGTTTCACGACGAAATTAATTGCAGCCGGGACATGCGCAAATGGATCGAGAAGAAGAACAAAGCCACGAGAGCGAAACGGAAAAAAGAGGAGATGACGCGAATACGTACTTTAGTGGACATGGCTTACAATATAGATCCTAGGATAAAGAAATTCCAGCAAGATGATAAAGATAAGAAGAACGCAGTGAAGAGGGCGAAGCAGGAGGCAGCAAAGGCCAGGCAACAGGAAGAAGAGAGAATAGCACGGGACGCAGCAGAGAAGGAGAGACTGGAGAAGGAGAAAAGAGAATCCGAGGAAAGGGCGAAGCAAGACGCACTGAAGCAGGAGCGAGAACTACAGAAGAAGGCGTTACGCAAAGAAAGGAAGGCGTTCAGGGATTTTTGCAAGGCAAACCATTACTTTGCTAAAAGTTCAGAAGAGAGTCTTCGACACATGGAGAGCGTAGAGAAGATCTGTGAGCTGTTTAAGCTCGTGCAGCTGGAAGAGGCGATGAAGAATCTTCAGACCAACGGTAGATCCGCGTTTTTGAGCGTTGTCGAAGAGGCTGAAAGAAGAATCGAGGAGGAACGTCGCATAAATGTGATAAGTAACGATGCAAGAAACACACCTGATAAACAGACCAAGACCTGTACCGCACCTTGGAGTGAGACCGACTTGCAGCTCTTGATAAAAGCTGTCAACCTGTTCCCTGCCGGTACCAATCAACGTTGGGAAGTAGTAGCCAATTTTATCAATCAACACAGCAGTTCCACCAGTGGAGTTGTTCGCGACGCCAAGGAAGTTCTGGCAAAGGCCAAGAGTCTACAGTCGACCGACTTTAGCAAATCGAGTTTAAAAGAACAGGCGAATAAGAAAGCCTTCGACAACTTCATCGCTGAGAAAAAAAGCAAGGAAGCTATCGAAGAAAGAATGCCAGCCGTCACGGAGCGCCTAGACCATCCAATCGCGAACGGAGTAACCGCTGAACCCAAGGAGATTAAAAAGGAACCTGTCCCGTGGACGCCGGGTGAACAAAAACTCTTGGAACAAGCATTGAAAACTTATCCGACAACAGTTCCGGACAGATGGGATCAAATCGCAGCGTGTATACCTACTAGAACGAAAAAGGAATGTATGAAGAGATACAAGGTAAACATTAAGAAAAGAACGTGTTACATGACTTATATCATTGCACAATCCAAGTTTGCAGTCTTAAAGTTTTATATTATATCAACTTAACCTTACTTAAACCTTACTTAAACATAGTTATATAAATGGTCACTATAAAGTTTTTTTTTTAAGAAAAGGAAAAAAGATAAAGTACGATATTTTAAATAATTATATCAAGCATTACATTAGCTTAATGCATAATGAACCGAGCTACAAGTTTGTTTCTCTTTGTTGCAGGAATTGGTCGAGCTCGTGAAAGCGAAGAAGGCGGCGCAGATGACGAAATAATATTAACTGCACGCTAAGCTCGAAATTTCCTTCTAACTTATTGAACTCTAGTTCAATTTCGCGATTTCGATGGCTATTTCGTTCCTCGAAATGGATTTCTTCCCTAGAAAATTATAAACGAAATTTAAGACTGGAGGACAAGAACCTTAGCTTACTCATTGAGTGCCAGTTCGCGTGCATACTTGTGCCTTTCTACAGCCGATACAGAAATCAGTTGCACGGCATACAGAGAAATTCAACCTGTTTTGTTCAGTCGATCCTGCGATACGTTTTATTTCTACGCGCTGCACACTTTGAACGGATCTTTGAAGCAGTGCTGCCCGACCATTATTTCCACGAAGACGGAACTCGTTACTCAGGAGAATCTTCTGTGTATATTTATTTTTGGCAACAAATTTTTGCGATCGACCTACACTTCATATTGTAAGTATTGTAAAATAAAGAAGAGCTGCTGTCGTCGGAAAGAAGCAACGTTTGGAGGAGAACGATGGACTTTATAAATAAACGACAATGTTTTGGAAAGCGCCCGTTGGATAAAAATGCCCGACGATGATGTTCCTGTAGTCCCGGTCCGTGAGTACTTATCCTTTATCTATCCTGATTACATGAATCCTTCATTTGCCATAATTATATAAGCGTTTTTAATGACTAAAAGTGAAATAGTAATAGTAGTAGTAGTAGATACTACTGACTGAAAGTGAAATATTTGTCTTCATTTATATATGAAAATGATTTTACTCGTGATATATTTGTGAGTGGAATTTTACAAATGTGGCTATTCTCTCTATCGCCAAATGCAGGAAAACTATTTTTCGAGGACGATATGATAGGCTTTCGTGAAGAAATCTCGTTTCAGAGTCACCGTTCAATTTTATTTCCTATTTTTCTCACTCCATATTTCAACATTCCAAATTCGAAGTATCTCATATTGAAACACACGGCGTTGCACTGCTATAAATTTATGCGAACAGCGAAATATAATTAAGACGCGTCCTTCGACAAGTTCGTAGTGTCTGTACGCTACTAAAATCTAACAGAGTAGATGAATATAATTATTGTGCACTTTGCTCCATTATCATACGCATTAAACGCCGACCCTATCGAAAAGTTTCACGTCCTTTGTCACACTATACCCGACAATTATTATTAATTATTACAATTAATATTAATTCCCGGCTATTATTAATTTTATTTCAAACGTATCTAGCGCTATTTGTAACAAATAGATTGAAAAACAACTTGAATACAGTAGAAATACGCGATTGGTCCTGCTAAATTATATATCTTTCGCTTTCCGCGCATCTCATGAAAACATACATTTATATTTATGTGTGTGTCTATACAGAATTTTTTTTAGATAGAGCGAAAAATATTTTAGGGTAAACTTGGACAAATTTCGCGTCGGCTTTCTTTTTAAATCCCTCTCGACTGATTGGAATAGTTTTCCCCAATCACAGGTTCGTAATTTTTCTCGTGGGTTTAATTACACTACTTTCGACCGTTCCTCCCTGATCTTTTTCAGTCTTGGAATGGAAAATATTGGTCTTTCTATACGCGATTTACGATAAACCTCGTAATACTATACGGCGCATATTTTTCGCATTATCAGTTCATTACTGTTTCGCATTATTAGTTTATCACCGTTTATCGTAAACGGAACTTGATGCGTTTCGTTGTAACTTTGTTCCATTGTAAAACGGTATAAAAAGACAACCGTTAACGAAGGTAATACTAGAACGTTGGAAAATTAACTATTCTATTACGCATAAACGAAGTCGAGCTCATTTCGCGAGCAGTCTCTTTTTTTTCAATTTTAAACGGCGAATGAACTATCCCTCTTTTATCTCATTAGTTTCACCATCTAATCGCCAGATGATCATCTCGTAGAATCCAACGCCGATATCTTTCCTCTTCCTGAAAACTTTATTCACCCTAGAACTACCAACAACTATTGTACGTCTATTTCTACCATTGAATATACTGTATATAGTTCCTTGGAAAAAAAGATAAAGGAAAAAAATTAATTTAATCATTTGCGTATTGTAACAAAAGTCACGGAAAATTTCAGAAAATGCGTCGTTATGCCATTTTTTGATCGCGTTGGTTGTTCTAGTGTTAAATTCTAGCAAAATACGCACGTTCGTGCGTGCATGTGTGTGCGTATACATTTGTGTCAAGCATAAATTATGAAAGATCGATTGCACGGGGTTTTTAATTGCTATGACAATTTTTATTCAGACATCATAAGATATAAACAGACTTCGGATTTTTAAACATTAGTGGTTCTGGACCGTGTGGCGCTCCATTTACTTTTTTTGTGTTTTCTTTTTTGTATCTTCCGTCCGCGAGAGACGAGAGGAACAGACGGCGATCTATATTACCTTACAGAGCGTAAAAAATTCTGCCGCTACTTGTGGTCGTGTTTACGGACCCGTAGTCTCTGTAATTTACACTTACTGCTTCAGCATCGTCCAACTCTTCTCTAAAAATTTGGCATATGTATGTAGTGTATATATACATATACACTATATGTTTCATAATAACGGTTTCGCGTTATCACTTAAAGTGACGAAACTAACTGGAAGAAGGGCGGGATAATCGAGTAAAATTACAGAGCGTCAAACGTAGGATATGCAATTGATGATTAAAGGGACAGAACCAAAGATCAGGAACGAGATAAAGAAATCATTCATACATCGTGCGATCTACGAATCGATCGTCGACGCAAGTAAGGTCTCTTTGGCTTACAGCGTTAGGACAAGATAAAAGCGATATACGAAAGAAACGTAAGGCGGGAGAATAGATCGGTGGGTTGCACGTAGGAAAATTCGCGAAGAGAAGATGGGTGAGAGAGTGGAGTTCGCATTGGTCGTAGACAAGCCAGAAGGCTGCCGAGGAACGTGATTCTGAAAGTACTCCAAACTAGTAGTCCGTAGTAATTCGTATAACAATAAACCGATTTGTCAATCGCCCGGCGATTTCGCCCGAGATCGGCGAAACTCTGAGTTCTGACGTCTCTTCGGTTAAGACTCTAATTGGTTCTACTCCACGTGACAGCCTTTCTTTATTATTTTTCTTTTACGGCTCGACATTAGTATACAAACGGGAAAAATCGAAGCATTACACGACAAATCTCCAGAACCACGCCGATTGACGAGTACTTATAAAATTTACGAGAGCTTAAAAATTTGTCAACGTCTATAAGTTAACATTTACGTAGTTAGTTTCAGTGTCTATGCTCCGGTTTCCAATCTCACGTTTCTGCGTACCCCAAACGTCACTCGAATGACACACATCGACAACGCGATTTCTATATATTGCGATCGGATTTTATAAGTCTGAGATTGCATTGCTGCGACTGCTGCGAGTCTCGGTCTGCGGCTGCGTTCTTTTTACGAGTGAACTCTTTGTGCGTGAAAGGGGACCCGCGCTATTTCCAAACGATTTACTCCGAAAGACTTTGCGTCTTAAATTATCTCGAGAGCAACTTCCCGCTTATATCCTCTTCCACAATTCACACAATTATTCCATACAATTATTATAACATTACATTCAATATACATGTAATTATTTTACATTATGTATAAAAGTCGATAAAGTTCGCGCGCGCGCGAATCGTTTTATCTCGATTGACTCGTCTTTAACTGGACTTTCGCTTAACGTTATAAATTTTCTGCAAAGTTAGCAAACTTCGATCACTGTTAATTTCTCACAGCACAACAGAATGTTTTCGAGGCCAAACGTTTAGCCGATGGGAGCGAAACTTTTCGCTTAGCTCGTCGTTAATTAGAAATCGCCGGTAAATCTCTCGTAAGCGGCGCGCGTCCCCCGGAGATGAGACTGTCGGGAATATCTATGAAGTGGCTCTCCATATCGTTGAGCATGCACTTGAGTGGGTGTAATCGTGGATTGAGATAGAGAGAGAAAGAGATTCGTGATTCAGATCTTTGCATATCCGATCGTCGTCACGTCCGAGTTTACACTTTACATAATAAAAACCGTACATCGCGCGACCGCGTTTTCCCGAGAGGAAAATGTTGCGCGTACGCTCCACCTGCTTACCCCTGTCCCCGTTACGTCCCCGCCTCGCCCTCCCCATTACTCTCATTTGTATAGAGATTGCCATCTAGAGATATATAATATATATTTATATATATTTATATTAATATACTAATCTCGAATCTCTCGCAGCGCTAGTTTATCGGCCATTCATCCTCACGCATCTCAGCGGAAATATACGCGCGCAACGGTGTTATGTACACAATTACAAATACGAATAATAATATCTATATATCGTCACAACATATCGCCAGTAGTGTACAACACACTCGATTCGCAGCTCTCTCTCTCTCCTCGCGCAATAATAATTCGCAATAATAGTCGTTTACTTTGTCTAAGTTGATAAAAATCTTTCTCTGGTCCGAAAGAAGTTATAGATACTTAGGCACTTGTTATTTCATCTAGAATTTATATACGTATGAATCATGAGTTATAATTATCGTGCTAGTAACCGGTAATCATCGGAACAAGGACAACGAGAGTAATCAATAATGAGAACAATAAGAACGATCGTCCGCCGACGTGTTTCTCATCCTCCTTTAACCCCTTACGACCCCAACTTTTTATTTTAGCATTTTTATCCATCTTCCTCGTGCGTCTGTACACAGAGAGAATTTTCTCTTCAAATTTATCTTGAATATCTTGCGATTGTGGGACAACGTGAAATTTTGAAGAACCTTATGAGAGTTTTTTGAAATTTTACTATACATTTTACTAGTAAAATGTATATATAGTATAATGACTAGTGAAATGCATGGTAAAATTTCAGAAAACTCTCATAAAATTCTTTAAAATGCCGCGTTGCCCCACGATTATAACATTTTCAGGATAAATTTTAAAAGAAAATTCTCCCCGTGTATAGAAGAGAGATTTTTACCGTCCAATAGGAAATTATGGTTAATTGATAAAAAGTTATTACGTCAGAATACGCTCTTACAAGATAATAATAAATATTCTATAAAGCGTCGTAAAGAGTTAAAATAGGTGATGAGTCTTGTAAAAGAAAATATCAGATCGCTGTAAAAATAGACGAATTAAGATCATTGAGAGAAATCTATTTTTATAAGATTCAACTTCTTTTTACCTTTCACCTGAAAAGTTTCAAAAATTGACAATTTCGTATGTTTCTCGGTTTCTGTATCTTTTTTAACATTAATACTGTACGGGGGGAATTTACTTCAGTATATAATATATCTTAAAATTCTGAGGAGGGAATTACTTTCGGAATTTCCATTTAATTGCTCCCAATTAGACGCTTTTTACGCAGATGAAGTATTATTTCAAAAAATTTTTAACCAATCGCTGAAATTGATAAAGAAAACTTTGCAGTTTCTTGCTATTTCTTTCATTTTAATTCGTCTATTTTCTGCACATGGCGTTCGCCGTATCGCCCTTAGTCAAGGCGAATCGAACAGAAAACGGAGATCAACGTTAAACGGGAACAATGGCAAATCTCTAGAAGTGTTTCTAGAGAAGTAAACTCAATTCCGTCGGGAGCCCAGGTCCCGGGATACTCCGTCGATTATTTTAATCTCGCGGTCGTTCGACGGTGAAAAAATTAAGCTCCGCGCCGCGACGACTCCCGATCATCCTGATCCTCCGTCGCGGCGAAAATACATCTTAAAAGTCTATATATTCCTGTGCCTAAACGAACCGCAACTTGCTCCGCGCGATCGTAACTTGCACGCATCTCGCCCGAGATATCCGTGCCAAGTTAGGAATCGCGAGCGACTCGCGTGACTCGAAAGTGCCGGATGAACACCCGCGCTCGGTTAGAAAATATTCGCTTGAACGAAAATACGCGTTCATTTGTGTCCACCACGGGATGGACATCTCGACGTCGAGCGGTCGCCCTTCGTCACGACTTCGCTCCCTTTTCCCTCCTCTAGACTACACCTGCATTTTGTCTCTCGATCCGTATCTAACTACAGCTATACATATTCAGAACAGTTTATAAAGCGTCCTCGTGCTCTTCAGGCAACAACAACAACGGCGTTCGAACCCTGAACGCGGTCTGAATCCATCGAACTCGCGCGATCGATTCAGATCAGAGGTCGGTGATTCATTGCAGTTACTTCATGTTAACTGATCTCGGTTCTTTGACGACTACTCCCGGTAAGAGGGAGTAGGAGTTTTCGGGTTACGTGGACGATGTTTGCGTCGCGGTGAGCTTCTCGTCCTGCTAGGACGGCGGTTGTCGCTGTTGTTGTTGTTGCTGCGGCTGCTGCTGCGGCTGCTGCGGTGGCTGCTGTTGCTGCGGCTGCTGCTGCGGCTGTTGCTGCTGCTGCTGCTGCTGCTGCCGATTACTGCCGCGACGGTAGCTGGAAGAATGCAGCGGGCGATAGACTGGCTGACTCGGTGGCTGCTCCTGCAACGGTTGGTAACCGATGCCGGTCGTGGTCTGTTGCTGGCTACTCCATGGCTGCAGCTGTTGCTGCTCCGCGCCTTGTAGCTGGTAAGACAACGGCTGACCTCGTCGCTCCTGCAGGAGCAGCTGGTGAGCGGCCTGGTCCATCTCCTCGCGCGTCATGTCCAGCGCCTCCTGCATCTCGCGCGACGTATACCGTACGAAATCCGGATCGCAGAATTTACCCAAACCTTGCTCCACCAGGACCTGAAAAGTGTACGATGCGACGCGGATATTATATCGGAAGGTTGAAGCAAAATATTATCATTTATCATTTTTTATATCTTCTTCATCCAAGTTACTCCTTATTCTGAAACTCACCCGACCGACGAGACTCTCCGCGCTCCCAATGACCTCGAAGTTCGGCTTCCGGTCCGCAGGACTGCCGGGCATACTGTGGGACAGGCGCTCTGCGCCGACGCTTCCGTTACTCTCTCTGGCCCAGGAAACTGACGAACGAGGAGAGGCGTCAGAGTGTTAGCTCGAATCAATCACGCCCTGCTTCCTTATAGCTTTCGATTCGCTTTTGCCGAAAGGCCTTTATGCGTTAGCGAGCATAGCGTACACAAATTGGTTTAGTGACATACGAGTGCTTCTCTCAAGCTTCGCGAGATTACTGGTGTTAGGTGTATAAATCGAATTGCAGTTAAGAATAAAGCGTAAAGATAACAAGACTGTTAGGAATGTTAGTTCGAAAGCTGACAGAGCGCGTGCTTCGAGCAGCGGTTGACCTAACCACCTGAGCAACACTTTGCTTCATATCCACGTCTCTCTTCGTATCTTCTTTGTGCCGATCCCTCTCGGGAGAGTTCATTGTGCAGGGGTTGTTCGAATGAAAAATGATTGTACCTTATACTCGTCAAACTGTCTGATTTTCTAAATGGATTTTACGTGTCAGGTTCATTCGATTTTCATTCGATGAAATTATTTCATGTGCTTTAATTATCTTACGTCAAAGCAAAATTTGGTTGTTAAACTTATTCTTTGATTAGAAATTAAATAATATATAATAATTCTGTGCTTTGATGAAAACTATAGAATTTTTTTTTAAATTATTAAGAAGAATGGCAGAGAAAATTAAAGCGTGAATGTGTAATTCAAGAAAATGAATTTAAAATCCTAAACATAACGAAATAAGAGAATTGTTGCTCGTACTTTACTGATACCAATCCTTTGCGATCGATAGTTCTGTTTTAAGTATCAGACATTTAACTTTTATTCTGACTTTGCCAAAATATTATCAACAAGATAAATTTCGTACATAGTTATTGCATTATTTTCCAAATTTAGAAACAAATAGAGTTATGAATTATAAGAGCGTTGTAATTTTTCCGTTTACCTCGAACGATAAATCTCATAACAAGACACAATTATACAATCACAGTATCACATATTGACATTTTATCAGTTGTTTGATAGGATTTCGAATAGTATATTATGATAAAACACATAAATTTGTAAATTATTTCGATTTGGAAAAATAATGTGCCGCGGTATGTCTCCAGTATACGATCGCAAAGGATTCATTCGCGTGCTTTAGTCACCTCTGCCGTGGTAGGACGACGCTCGGTGCGACAAGCAGGAGGCGCAGACGCGCCATTGTCGCGAGTCGACGTCGGCGAGGAAGCCGGCCACGGCGATCGCCTGGTTCTGTGCCATTTTAAGGCCATTGGCGACGGTGCGAGCGCCGGGGCCCGACGACGTAGCGGCACCGGTCGCGGATCCCGCTGTGGTGGCTGCAGCGGCTGCATCCCGCGACCGGAAACTCGCCGGAGCCGACTTGCCACCGGCGGTCGCAGCATCGCGACGGGCCTTGTCCCGGCGCTTCGACGACCGGCCGCCCAGCACGGTGACATGGGGTTTCCCCGTCGTGCCGCGTGCCACACCACCCTCCGAGTGCGGATTCCACCTGCCGGAATCGCTCGATCCGCTTCCGGTTGACGTGTCATCGTCACAATCTAGGGCTGCGTGCGAGGACACGGGGACGTTTTATCAATGGGGCATAAGCCTAATCGCGTCTATTTTTCGTAGGTCAGTCTTGTTGTGCTGGCGAGCGCGATGAGATTTTGTCGAATATAGTTAAGAAAGAACAAGAAGCTAAAACGAGCGGCATATAAGTGTAATCTTGATTTAATACACTGCGTCAATTTCGTTGGTTCTATTGTTAACCGTTTATCATCTCATCTTTCTATAATTTCGCAGATTCGTTTTCCATTTTCTTCATGATTTGTTTTATCTATTATAGAAATGGTCATGTTAAATGCCCAAGAGAATCTGATTTTGTTAGATAAGTGAAATGAGTTATAAGTAAATGAGTTTATTGAAAAGTGAGACGAAAAGGTGAATGATCTCTTCAATGCCAGCACAGCGACAGGACCGAGTCTTTGCGACTGACTGAACCGGCGTTCCCGTACCGTGATTGCTCCAGGCTGCGCAATCGACGCAGCAGCCCCGCGACGCGTAGGTATAATAACAGTTCGTCCCGTTTGACGAGGAAGCGGGGCTTGAGGTCGCGGTGGTCGAGGTGTTCGCGCTCGTGGTGCACGACGCGGTGATCGTCGTCGTCGCGACGCTCGACCCGCTCGTCGTCCCGGCCGCCGCGGATGCTGCTGCGGTTGCTGCGGTGGCTGTCGTCGCTGCCGTTGCTGCCGCTGCAGCGACGGGGGTGTGCACGGCGGTGCCGGTGCTCGGGGTGCCGGTGGACGAGGACGGTGGGTTCCGTCGCGGCGGAGGCGTGGGTGGCGTCAACTGCCGCTCGATTCCGTCCTGAAGACTGCACGAGCGTGCACACGCACACGCGGGGTAGGACGGCGAGGGAGGAAAAGAAAAGCGTAACGGCCGTTCTTAGTACGTTAATGCGTGTACGCATGGCAGATACACGCACCTCCGAAAGCCTCGTCGGGACATTTTACTTAAAGTAACGAGGATCGCCCCAAAACGAGAGTCTCAAATGGGGCGCAGACAACAATTGCCGTCTGATAGAAATAGAAACGTTAGATTTCGTACAAGTTTCTTCATTTTCGGATGATAAATAACGATTGTCTCTCTAATGTGGGAAAGCTTTTTCCCTCTTCTCGTTCCGGACCTCTCATTTATTATTTGTTTCACTTTCCGATAACGAATGTAGTTATTCAAGATTTCGAAGAATTTAAAAATTAGCATTTTTTGTAAGTTGGCCTCTCTAAGCCATGTTTTTCTCGAGGCGTTCGGCGGTGCTTAAACAAGCATTATCAATATAGCGATAATCTACAATTAGTAGTAGTACAAACAACATGCGATCAGCCGGGCATAAGTTACCACACGTGGGACCCAAATGCATTCTTCTTGCATCTCGAGAAATGCGTGTGCGACCCGCGCGCCTGATTATCCTCGTAGCTTTGCAAATTGACTCCCGTTTAACCAACTTTTACGTGAACATCATTTCTTGTGAAAACGCAGTTGAACGGGATCCTCGAGGCGTGATTCGAGTGAAAGACACATGCAGCCGCGCAGAGCAAGCAATGCGAATCAACAGAAATAAAATGATGGAAAGCCAGCTACTGATCGCCCTAACTTGTCTTACCATATTCGCTATTGGGATGGAGATAGTTACCGCTACCCGATCCACTGAAACGGTACGATAGTAAACAGAAAAGCGAAAGGGATAATGAGAGATGATACGACTCGACCCGCTCTAAGAGGCGAAACAAATAACTTGTTGCAAGTGTAGGAAGGAAAATTTAGCCAGAATTCGCATAAAAGTATCGAAAGGTCCAGAAACCGTGGTCATCGATCAATCGCGTTTCGTCTATTTTCTTGTTGATCTATACAAGTTGTCTCGCGCGCGTTTATAATTAAAAAAAAAGTAATCAAATAAAAGTGACGCATCCGCAGCGTTCTTCCTTCTCCGTATGAATTTAGATTACGTCACATATAATGAGCCAATTAAAAAATCAAACTGATGAGCGTCCTCCATGCACTGTGACGTGATATACCGAGAGAAAGAGAGAAAACGATCGTTGTAGGAAATAATAACTATCGATTACACACGGACGAGACATGATGGTCTAACAGAAACAGGACACTCGCCGCAATTTATCGCTCGCTCGCTCTGTACGCGTTCTGTACTTACTCGACCACTTTGTAAGACGTCTGTTGCGCCGGATTGCCAAAGGCAGCGAGCGGTCTCAGAGGAATATTCTCTTCGACTGTCAGTCGCAGGTCGGTTCCCGTCTGGTTCATCGCGCCGTCGCTTAGACCACTGTATGATCATTTTTTCACGCGTCAATATATAAATTATTAATTAGTTGACTGACACAGTTGGACTAGCACAATTTTATCAAAAGCACTAGAGAAAATGTAAGCAATAGCTGCTCGTGAGATATTTTGGGGAAACTTGTAAGAGAAATATTTCTTTTTCCTTAATGCAGTTTGTTCAAGTATAGCCGTAGGGCATCTTTGCTGTGGAGCAGTTTTGTGTTGCTCTAAGACTTTGGTATCACAAACCTGAATTTTAGTATTCACGATCGAATAGATAAGAAAGTTTTAAAGATATAAAATGTTTATTTTAAACATTTAACAAATTTTGCAAATTATCTTTCAAAAGAATTCGATAAGATAAGAATATTCGGAAATGTAAAGAAAAATTATCGAAGAAATTAGTTTTCTGACATTTTTCCATAATTTATGTCAATTAAAAATACGCTAAATAATTACCCCGCTATATTTGGCACAATTTGGTGAGCGATTTGCTTGGTGACATCCGCGACGGCGGTCCTCCGTAACGAGGCATACGGTAGAAAATCTATGGAATTGGTCGGGGAAGCCTGTAAGATAGTTCTCGATTAGAACGCCATCGACAGGAGAGAATCCTACGTGAAAACGTTACGTGCCTTCGCAGCGGCGGAGTTGACCTTTAGCGACTTCGCCCTGTGGAAGCCGTGCGGTCCTTTTCGCATGCTGGACCATACGCTTCCAAAGAGCGAGTGGTTTCTCTGAAAATATTATGAAATTATTATTATTCATTACTCAATGAGCTTATCGGGATGACACGCTCGCTGATCTTACTCTGTGCATAGGTTCCGGATTGTCGTCGAGAAGTTCTTCCAAGTTACCGGAAATCGCGCGTTTTAATTCAGGGCCTGCTTCGTGTAACGTTCTCAACCCGGCCTTTTAAATTAAAGTTGCAATATGCAATGAATAATCCAAGCATGATTCTAAGTTACTAAATTCTAAACACATTTCCTTCGAAACTTTTAAAACGACTCACTTGAAGGGTCACAGTGTTGTGACAATCTCTATCGCCGTCCTTCATTTCCTGTTCCTTGCGTTTCTTGAATCGACGGAAATAGTCCTGAATGAGGAAGGTCGCGTAAAACTTGCCGACCGTCACCTCGTCGTCCACTGGAAGGATCGATTCGAAGTGTAAATTTAATTCCGCGAAGGAAAACAAATTTTACGATGAACGAACAGTTACCTCCGGGCGGTGGTACGACTTGATCTAGAAGTTTCGAACTAGTCCTCTTCCAGATCTTTTTGATCACCGCCCTGAGTTCGGAGTTCGCGTCGTCAATGTTGCCCTCCGTCTTGATTCTCAGCGACGTCCTTACGACGGCGAACAAAGTCGCGTTGAACAATACGGTGCCGTCGCTGTTCAGCGGCATGTTCATCGAGACGAGTCTCTGGATTTTTAATTCCGATATTAGGGGCGATTCCATTAATATGAATTTCACTTTAGATTACGCAACAATTCGCTTTATTTCTTCGTGAAATACGAATGTGATAAAAGTCTCTGTTAAAATCTGCAATTATATTATTAGAGAGTCGTTTACTAACCTTGCAGGCTACTCTATGGGGACACAGCTTCCCGAAACCCAAGGGCGGTGATATTTTCCTTAGTAACGTTACCACATCGAGATGTTTAATTCGCCCCTTGGCATCGGGATCGTACTCGGACCACAGGCGAATAAACTCGTCCAAGTGGTGCGGGCCGAGAATCGACCAATCTCTCGTCAAGTAGTCGAAGTTGTCCATGATAACGGCGACGAACAGGTTGATAATCTGTTTTCCGCGAGATAGGCACATTAAATTTAGAGGCTTTTATCTATCGACGATCTAAATGATCAAACAAAAATAACGCGAGATGCACTTACAAGAAACGAACAGAGCACATAGAAAGATATGAAGTAAGGAAATGCAATGTCTGATCCGCAGCCAGTCTCTTTGTTGTCTTCGTCGCTGTTAGACTCACATTTCTTGCTCGATGAACAAGCCATCATTATTTCTTGCCATGCCTCTCCTACGGTCGCAAACATTTGAGCAATCAAGATTTTTTTCAATGATATTACCCTCGATGATCTAATTATACAATATCTTACAATTGTATTTTAAATCTTATAATTTTTATCGAACATTCCATTTCTACATCTATTACCAAGCAAAAACTAATCCGAAAGTTTGATCGATCGTAATATTTTCATCTTTCAATATCAAATATTTTAAATAAGATAAAATGTACATACCTGTCGCCGATCTGAACAGAACCAACACGGCTTGTGGAAAGGTCTGGAAATTGTTATTACGATCTATCGCCGTTTCATCGTCTATCGCGATCTTCCCGAAGACCTGAAAAGGAGCCCTCGTTTAAATCACCGTCGTTTATGTGCTTGAAACGCGCGTTTTCCCATCGATCGACGTTGCTTACTTGCATGCCTATCACAGCGTAAATGAAAAAGAGCATTATAATGAGAAGGGCGACATAGGGCAGAGCTTGAAAGGACTTGATAAACGTCCATAAAAGCGTTCGGATGCCTTCTCCTCTGCTTAGTAGTTTAACCAATCTCATCACACGAAACAGCCTGAAGAAATTGATGGAAATGATGGAAGTGGATCCAGGCTGCAAAGATGACAAAATGGTTTAGCGGCAGTTTTACTTCCGCCTCTTAAATATAATTGCGAATATTGCCTCGGGTGCTCGATCAAAGTCGAGCGCAACGGATACTCACGTTAACTTCCGAATAAACGATATCGATGAAACTTCCGAGCACGATAATAAAGTCGAATACGTTCCACGCATCGCCGAAGTAATTCTGCAAATTAATAAACGAGCTCGCTTATGAGCATAATTAACGCTGGCACGAGGTGAAATTAAATAAAAAGTATTTCGAACAGATATGAAACGTAAGAAACGATTACGGTATACGCATAGGATCTAGACGAGTCTGCACCTTAAATCGAAATGCGGCCAACTTAAACACAAACTCGAGGGCGAACACGGCGGTGAAGATCATGTTGAGTACGTCCAGGACATCCGTGTAGAGCTGCGGCTGCCGATAAAATTTCATCGCGAGCGTCACGGTGTTGATCATAATTAACGTGAATATCGTGTACTCGAATGGCTGGGAGGTGACGAACCACCAGACTTTGTACTGTATTCGATGCTTCGGTATGTATCGGCGCACTGGCTTAGCTTTCAGCGCGAACTCGATGCAATTTCTCTGTAGAAAGAAGCGACTGTTAACCCATCGTGACGTTACAATAGGATCCTCGTGTGACCCCAAAATATCTTAGTTCCAAACATTTTATTGCCGTAAAAAATGATAACGAAATTATATCGCAATACTTTGTTCCCATAATTTTCAACTTTATTTTTCGAAGCGCTCGTTTTTTTAGGGTTTACTGAAAATGGGAGTGTTCTTAGGGTCATGCATGATCTCGACGCGGTATTAGTGCTATCACAATTTGAACATAATTAAACTATTAATTTAACACTCGCGCGATTCACCTGATTTTTATCAAGCTCGCAGTTTTTGTACTCTTGCTCGCCCTCGTTCTGGAAGGTGACAATAACGAAACCGACGAAGATGTTCACCATGAAGAACGCGATGATGATGATGTAGATAATGTAGTAGGTGGCCACTATTGGCCGAAAATTATGAATTGGTCCACGATCTTCTTGGTTCGAGTCGATCGACCACTCTAACAGTCTGTTAGCAGACACGAGAGACGGCGTTAACTATTTGGCATCTTGCGTTTCTAGATCTGCAGTATCTACTTATCCATTTTCTTAATATTGCTAACAAAATTACACATTTATTGAAATAATGTATAAAAGATAGGATACTTGTTGACGCAAAGAACAAAAAGATCTGAGAGAGTAACGAGGAAAAGAAAGATACAAGAAACTTAATGGAAACTTTTTGTATCGACATTGAGATTGCTGTAAAAGCAAAGTTTGCATAAGTAGCCTTTTGTGCTGCATTTAATGTATTTAATGTATCTCGATCGAGAGAAATCGTGAAACAACGTTCCTCGCGAATGCAATGCAAGATATACTTACGACGGCCAACCTTCGAAAGTCGAGACCGTAAAAAGGGTCAACATCGCCTTGGCAACGTTATCGAAATGAAAACGGTGCTGTTTCCAGTCTCTCAGTTGTACGGCCGGCCTGTTAATATTACCATCTTCGAATTCCAAATAAGTACCCCTGGAAAGGAGAGTTTCTTGCACCAAATTCTGAATGTGTGGTCTATTCAAATCTTTCAATTGTCCGTGAATTAATGAGAAACTTGGTTACAAAACTTTTCTCTTTGTTACGTTTAATATAAATAATATAAATGTTAAATTGAATATGCTCTCTTGTCAGCACATTATATTATATGCTCAAGATCACTGACAATTTTCAGAGATATGTATAGCTTTCGCGTCGCAATTCTTAGACTTGCAATTAAACGAAATTGAATTGTTTTAGTAATTTATAACGTAATCGGAACTTACTGGCACTCGACCTCTGTCATTTTCGATGCATCGGTACAAAAGAAAAACTTGCCCTACACAATACAAGAAGTCCATCAATTTCGATCGCCGTTAACGTGTCCGTTAATACGGGACTAGAATTTTACGCAACATGTTAAAGCTGCGGACGACACGCTAGCGTTCTTGAAATTCAATATCATGCCATTCGCCGGGCTAAACAATTACTCTTCGCGCAAATAATTTATCATCTGTTATTTATAATCGATCATCAAATGGGAAATACAATTCACAGTCATATGCTTCAATGTTTAATTGTTATCATCGTAAAATTCGATTTCGCTCCAAGAGAGCCTCGATATCTCTGGACTCGTCGCGATTGATCCTCCGCGTGGGATTAAAATCTCAAAGATCGCCAGCATGACGGGTTACACATCAGCTGTGAATCGGCCATTCTTGCGGTAGCATTGTCAGCGGCAGCAACAACGAGACGTGATCGAGCAAAGTAAGAGGGTGTTAACGTGAGGCAAAACGTGGTACGGAAAAAAAAAAGGAACATTCCTCGTCGGCACGTGCATACATATGTACAACAAGGTACGGAGCGATGCGTGGGGTTTCTCGACGATTTCGCGATCACGTCCACGTATAAGCGTTTCGTCGCGCTTGGTGGTACATGGACATTGAGTGCATAAGCACGCTGAGGGAGAGGTGTCGATGAATGGGTCCTTCGCCCCCCCTCGCCTTGAAACCTGCGCCGCGACCATGTGGACAGAGCGAGACGGTGCAATAATTGCGAGGAACACCCTCCCCAGTCTTCCGAATTTCTGCGTTTGCGCAAATTAATGCGCAATCTCCGTCCTCGTCGCTTGTGCGTTTCACTCGGTATCAAAAATTTCACTAAAGTACAACGTCTCGCACGTAGTTCTCAACCAATGCTGACGCTACGGAAAGATTTTGAATGCCGGAGAGAGAGAGAGAAAGAGAGCAAGTTTAATTTTTATATCTCTCGTTTAACAATTGACAAGAAATACGATTGGAATCACATCGTAGATTTATAAATATCAATCATATAACAGTGCGAAGAAACGTAAAATATCAATTCTATATAACTTTATCGTAAAATCTCGGATGAATTCACGTAGTAATGTAACAATTTATTGGAGATAATGTGTCATTTTCCGAAAGAGATGTTCGGAAACGTGGCGGAGGTGTATTTTCAGCGGGCGCTATTATTGCACCTCAACGGTTTAAAGAGCCGCAAGTTTATAGACGCACGCGTGTAATGTTCGCCCTGTAATGCTCCCGATGAAATCGTCGCGTCTACGTGACCGCTCCATTATCCGTCGACATGGCGCGCTCGCATGGGCTCGGACACGACATGGGAAAAAAGCACGAACAATGGGCCACCGTGACGCGCCAAATTGTACTAATTGACACCTACGTAACACGAGCTGGTGCGGGCCAAAATAACGAAACAGATTGAAACAACAACGCAGCCCACCCATCCCCCGCTGACAACAGCGTGTAGCTGACGATTTTGTGACTGCCCCTCCCTCCCTGCCCCTCTCTCCTCTCTGCCTCCTTCCTTCTTTTTGTAATCCATAATTGCTTGCAAGTAAAAAAGCACAGGCGTCGTACGTGTCGCGGCTCGTGCAGAAGCAGCACTATCGTCGTATTCGCGACATATATATCTTCTGTTCTCCTATCTCGTTATTTTACCGTTAATTTCTCTTCTTCTGCGTCGTGTCTCCTGACTCAGATATCGTGCTTCACGTATCTCTTTTTGCATACATTGATAAAAAGCGATGTTTGCACGTGAGAGTATTTATATAAAAACGTTCCTGCAGCTTACAGAATAGACGATTATTATGAGCGACATAAAAATATTCATCCATCGTCAAGCGACGCTTATGTTGCCTGAGAAAACGCCGACAAATTTAATTGACTTACAATAATGTTACCCTCTTCCCCTTTAATGATTATTAAAAAATTCTTTAATAGGCCGTTAATTTTATATAACTATCTGCTGCGATATTAACTTGTTAGAAAATTTTTTCCATGCTTTGGTAACTTAATTCTCTCGGTTCCCATCCTCGCAGCAAGAACGTTTCGATACATATGCATTAATTTTAACAAACAGACGATAAAATTTGAGACAACAGATTTATGAGCGCGAAATATTTACGAATATATGCTAAATGGTATCAACGTGTGTGACGCGTCTCAGATGTTTCGTTCAACGTCAACGAGCCAGTGCTCCGTCTCGTACTAAATTTATTCGTCTCCCTAAGAAATCATATTTAACTGACCGTTACATCTGACTGCAGAAATATCATATTTCTGTCATACGTTTCTCGCTATATATTATTTTATTAAACGGCTTCGTCAGATCGAGCACCCTGGCTTCTCCTAAACATAGTTTCAATATCTAACGTCCATAAAAATATAACTCGTATTTGGTCAAGATAATATCCTCGTGGAATCACCCACGAGAATCTCACAAGAGGCATAACATAATTATTCGGAATGGATTTGATTCTCCTTAAAATATATTATTAAACACAAAAATCTAAGAGACACGTAATTTTTTATACATGCTCATTTAATAAGTGAAACAGTGTCTCGAAACGGGCACGTATAAAAAGAGATGCTCGCTTCTCTTAGATCTTTGTAATTAACTAAGTATTGAAGAGGGAACCAAATTGATTCCGGACAGTTGTGATACGTTCCTTGCCAGGTTGTCTACAGCTGTGCGCATACTCGCGATCAAGATAGACAGGAATGTGAAACCTCCGCGACTTGTAAATCCGATTTATCACCGCAATCATCTTGGTCGCCTCGTGGCAAAGTATCCGTTCGCGCGTGACGTCCGAAAAGAAAAAAAAAAGTTATCCGAAGTCCCATGCAACACGTTGGGCGAACCGTAACCACGAGCGTATCTTTAGTCCCTGATGAATATCCGCTGGCGATTACATCGTCGCGATGCAAGCAGACTTATTTGCCACATTAATAAGCGTTATTCGGGGAAGCGGAATGACAGGCACTTCGTTCGTCGCGTTCAATCGAAACTCGGAGTTTCAATAGAATCAATTTTGCGAAGACGGAGCGATATCGATATTTTAAAACGCTCGTGGATAATCGGATCAGCTGCCTGCGCCGTCGCGAATCTCATTCCGCTTCCGCGTGAATATGAATGTAGCAAAGTCGACAGAGTCTCGCGCAAAGTACGCGGAAGTCGTGTGTATACATCTAAGGGGAGCTACCCGCTAATGCGTCTCGAGTCCCGATCGAGCCACATGTGAGTAACTTTAGTGCTATTTCATACTTTGCGACTATGAAACACAACGCTGTCTTGCGAACATCTGTGTGATCTCTCTACGGCTGCTCGAACAATCTATCTTTCATCTAAGCCCTAAGTTCAGCTTTACAGTCTCTATTCTTCCTCGTGGAATCGTGTGAGTCGTGGAGAAAACTGGTGTCTAGACGTGGCAAAGCGAGACGAACGATTATCCACTTTCGCGCTGGCGTAAAGAGGTCGTTATTTAAATCGGCTTTCAAGCGAAGAAGATCGAAATTGTTATAAAACTGCAGAGTTACGTATGTCCAACAATTTTTATCAAGAGACACGTCATAAATATTAACAAAGACAACTCGACATTTTTTGTTAATCGTAAACTTGAAATAAATCAGTATTCACGGTGACTTACTGACAGCAGCGAAGAGCGTGTATTAATGATAAATATCCATTTTCATTTATTAATTACACAATTTGCCCATAATTTAATTGACGTTATTTCATCACGTATCGGATACCGCTAAAGTTCGCCTCGTTCTGTCACGTCATCACGTGTAACTCGTGGTTTCGGTGCACGTGGACGGCCAACATGCACTACGACTAAAGCTTCATTCTCACATATAGCGAAACTGGCATGCCTGGTTAAGGGGGTGTCTATCTTTAAACGGGTGGAAGGAGGAGACAATATATGGCGATATATGATATGCGTATCGTTGGTTGTGTGACGGATAAAAAAAATACATATATATATACAAAAATATACATATAAGTATAGATATGTATATATACATAGTTTGCACGTCGACGTATAATTACACGACAATCTCGCCTGGTTTTTCTTGGTTAAAAGCGTTATATTGTTAATAACAGCGTTACCGTGCTCGAGGGTGTTGAAAAGGGGGAGACGTACAGAGAAAGAGATATCGGCAGCAACGAGACACACACACACGTGTATGCATCCGCGGGCTAATCCGTCATCGTTTCCGTGTCCTTCCGGCCGTCAGGATCGCGCGCGATACCGCGATAATTAATGATCGACAGCACGATGATCGATACACCGTGCAGATAATCAGATAACACCCCTCGTATCGGGTAGAGATAATTTCGCAGCGAAAGGAACCTCTCGGAAAGGAAGTTTCCCCTCGTAGGAACGTGTCTGTGTAACATCATTCGCCACGTTATTGCGTTAAAAGCTCCGCAACGTGTTCGAAGTCTCTTCGACGCTGTAAAATGTCGTGCCTTGCTGCTGATACATTCCCTCGTACGGTTTAGGACGAAGTTAGAGTGGGAAAGGAGGACTCTCGGAACAGACTTGGGCAAACTTTCCGAGTGTTTTCGTCTTTTTTAAATGTCAAGAAAAGTGTTTAAAAAAAGGCGACGTTATGAAACTGCTTCCTTTGTTCAAGTCTAATTCAAAGAAAAATTGTGGAAGATGCTGGCAATTACAAAATTGCAAAATACAGAATAGACGGGCTAATTTTCTGTCATTATTTTCAGTTAGATTAATATTGTTATAACACTCTCTTTTGTACTCATTTTTTTCACCGAATAATACGATGTGATAATCGAGTTGATAATGTTCCGGATAAAATTACCCGACAAAATGTGACCGAGCGTGTAATCTGATATTATATAAAAATTGTATCTGAGAGACAGAATGCTTAGCATCTTGTATAATTAATTAACATTTTACGACACCGCGTGACGATTATTACACACTATTTTCCGTCGTTCTCCGTGTTTCGGCTGGGAAAATTCGGTCACCGGGAGGTGCTCTGCCGG